ACAAAATTTATGGACTTGTAGGTATCTGAGGCCTGACAAAATGTGCTTGGGATTACTCTCTCCAAATCTAATTGATAACTTTTTCACACTTTTAAAAAGAGTACTTTTGAGAGTGTCAACAAAACATAGGGTTGACATAGTTAAAATTAGGTAATTTGCGGATGTTCAAGGATGTCAGCCAAGTTGTAGATTTAGTAACGTCAGAAGAGTTGTAGGAAAAGAAGTATGCTAATTGGCATGGTCCTACATTCATGGAATAAACATGGAATGTTACTAAGGTGTTTCACACATAAGGTCTCTTCATTACATGATTTTATCTTTTTGTGTATTTGATGGAATTTCAAGGACTTAGAGTGCGTAAAGCCACTTTGAATCTTGTCCCAGTGCTAGAGTTGAGAGAGAAGAAAATGCCATAAACATATTTGTTCAGCACCAAATATACAAAGATGGTCCCATGCTGGGTCCCGAGGGCTGGGGGTAGGTAGGAGATAAAATGACCTTGCTTCTCTTTGAGTAGCTGACAATATAAAAATGGGCAAATAAAACCAGTTTATGTCAAACAATTGGGAAATGATGCAGCATTGCAATTAGTCTGAATAAATGAGAGGAAGAGATATACAGTAAATACTATAAAATTAAACTTAAAAATCTTCCCTTTAACTCTTACCGTCCTCAAGATACTGCCTTACTATTTGTATCCAAACTCCTGGACTGTCTGTTCTTGTCTGCTCATTCTCTCACCACCCATTCTGCATGGACAGCCCTTATCCACCACTTGGACTGGAGACATTGCCGAGATGGTCAATTACATGCAGGTTGCAACCAACGTCAGGCTGGTGCAATTGGATAGGGCCTTCTACCTGGCCCTGGACACAGCCACGGAGCCCCTCTGTGCTCAAACATATGCAACCTAGACGTGTGGGGTTGCTGACGCTCATTGGGCCACAGTTCACTGATGGAGGACAGAAGCTGAGGGATAAATGCTTCTTCTTTTAGTCCCCCAGGCAGAGATCTCTGAGATGTACAAGGCTCAAGAGATGGTCCAAAAGGCACCCAGAACAAGTTGGTCATGATGACAACCAGTCCAACAACACTTCCTGGTATCAGCATTCCCCCTGGGGCTTAGAGGAAAGGTCCAGGATAGAAATATAAACTGGACTTCACATCACGGGGATGGTATTTCAAGCTACAAGGAAGAATAAGATCCCCTGGAGAGAAAGTGAGACTGAGATGAGGTTAAGGGACTGAAGCTGGGGCACCCCAACATTTAGAGGGCCACCGTGAGGAGTGCTCCCTTCTCTTAGGAACATTTTCTTGCCTTTTTATACATAATAAGCTGTTTTGTTGGTTTTTCTCCTGTTTGGCATCCCTTTTCTTGCTCCTTAGAAGATTTATCCTTTATAACCTTTATAATTCGTGGAATTTCCTCAAGACTCAGTCTTATGCCTTCTTTACTTTTCTTATAATTGTTCCCACAGGTGACTTCATCCACACCCATGGTTTTATTTTCCTCCTTTAAGGTAATTACTTCTAAGGCTTTCTCCATTGCAGACATTGCTTATGAGATTCACACGCATCTTCCCGGTCACTTACTTGGAATCTCTTGCTAAATGTCCCAGAGTCACCTGAAACTCAACAATTCCAAGACCAAACCCATGAACAGCTCAAGATCCCTCTGCCCTCTTCTTAGCTTCAAACCTGATGGCTGTCCCTCTCTTCTTTCTAGCCACGCTGGGTTTCTCTATACTTCCTATTCGCATGCGTACTGCTGCCGTAAGGACTTTTTCAGATTCCAGCTGAAGTTTCATTTCCTCACGGAAGCCTTCCTGGATCTACCTAACTAGGCCAAATCCCTTAGTTTTACGCTCTTGGCAGTCTGATTCTCAGTGGCACTGAGAATCAGTGCCATTTGATTATACTGTAAGCTCCACGAGGTAAGGTAGCATATCTCTTTTGCACAAAATAGTGCCTTAGATTTTTTTAATGAAAGAATAAATCGAGATATCACTATGGACTAGAATAAGCTTGAAATATTCCTGAGGAATGAGCCTGTATCCAAGCCTTGGAGAGGAATATTGGAGAGAAACAGAGACTAAGACTGTTGGAGCATTTACTGTTTTTGTGTGTCAAGTCCTTCACATGTGCTGCCACAGGCCGTCCTCACAGCAGCACCGTTAGAGATGCACTGAGCCTTTATCACAGACGAGAAGCCAGGTTCAGGGGAGTCAACTGATGCTCAACTCAGTGATGCTGGTATGCACTTGAACCTAGGATTATCGACTTCCAAGTCCACCGTCTTTGTCAGCGAAGAGAAACAGCAAGGTTGGAAGGATGGTAATTTTCCTGACGCAATGTGAATGTTTGGACTTCTTATGTGGAACAACAACCCAATACACTGAAGTTTTATTGCAAATGAAACATTTATTCTAATAAATGAGAGATGCCCAGTAATTGGACAGTTGGTTTATATGAAAATATTTTTTATGACAGTCTTTTTAAGAAAAAGTTGAGTTAGTTCATAAACAAGATACCTTAGCTGCCTTTGAAATATACAAATAAGAATGTGATAAGCATGGAGCCAAGAAAAATTCTAGTTTCCTTACAGTTGGATGGGAATCATATATTTCAATACGCGTTTGGGAAATACTGTATAACCCTCATGAGAATGTGAAAAAGCTCCAAAAAAATCCTGCAGTCAAGAAAATTTTTAAACTTTTTTTTTCTAGAGAATACCCAGGGATAATTTTACTGACGCTAAGACAGCTTAGGAAGTTCTGCTTATTCCACGTCTCCCAGAATTACAGACCTAGCCTCTTCCCTTGAAGACGGGTATTCTAAAATCATCCACATCTTAGTTTATCCACTTAGGAAGTTCTTCCTCACATCCAGCTCCAAGTTCTCCTGCAGAATCCAAGCTCTTTCCCCTGTAATTCTTCCTCCAGAAGAACAGAACAGTCGCTTGGATAGTCATAACCACAGTAACTGCTCAGTACTTGAAACTATTAAGGGTTACTTTGATTCAAGTTAAAAGTATCCATTTCTATAGATTTTTTTACATAGCACGTATTTCAACACTTTAATCATTTTTAGAGTTCTTTGAATCCATTCCAAATTTCCTACATTTTCTCTCAGTTGAGAAAACAAACTGAACACAGTCCTACTCCAAAGGCCAAGGGTTATTTCAAGGTTCCTATTTATAGCCAGTGTTCTATATGGTGAAGACTCATATTTAGCAAAACATTCTTTACCAAAACAGTCATAGGTTGTAACAGGATCCCAGGGCACACTTCCAAAAGGAGCATTGAGAAAGAGAAGGAGACTACTGGGGAATTCTACCATGCACAGAACCCAAGAGTCATCAATTCGATCACCCTGTTCCAAATCAGCAGATGTGAGAATCTCTTCTACAACATTCTGGAGAACAAATAGAAAACTTTGTTTTGAAGGCTTCTAGGAGCAGGAAGCTCATTATCAAACAAGGTAATTCATTGCATTGTTGGGGTGCTCCATTATTAAAAGATTCTCTAGTAAGATGACCTGAAATATGTCTTTCTATGCTTTTCTCACTCAAGCTGTGTCTCCTGTAGCATCCCAGAACAAATCCATTACCCCTTCCTATGGAAGTCCTTCAAATACCTGCTGAGTTTTTTCTCTTATTCAGGTGTGGAGATTACATTTTTGGTAGTTTCCAAGGGTGATGAAAGGAGCTGAAATACTCTATGATCCATGAACATCATGCCCATGTGCTTGAAGCTTACAGAGAGGCGAGTGTAGGGCTGGGTGTAGTATATGCAGACTCCCACAGCTAAAAGTCACCTTTTAGTATATCAAATTCACTAACTTCTCCCAATAAAATAGATAAAGATTACCATTTGTTCCAAAGAATTTGGATGAAGAAAATGAAAACTTTTATATAATGGATATGAAAAAAACAGAAAATAGAAAACTGAAGATAGAGTTTTTAAAAAGGTCTACATTTAGAGGAATAGAATTGAAATCCCCAATAAATAATCCAGCTGTCAAATTACTTTTAAAAGAAATTTTAAAAATTCTAGAATTGGACTTGCATCTCCATGCAAACCCATCCCCCAGCTTCCCTGATGGGACGTAACTCAACAAGCAGGGCCATTTCGTGCTGGGGGAGGATGCTCTCAAACTCACCAAGGAGCTCTTCACACCTGAATTACAACACAGGTACCGTTATATCTCACAGAAGCTTCACAAAACTCCAATTAAAATAGTCTCAGAAGAACTAGAAAGGCAGTGAAATTCTATATTTTATTTGCCAGAGAACCAAGTTCCACAAATGCACATTTCTAAAATTGCTAATCTCGTATAAACTGAACATCTGCTTCACTTATAACAAATAAATTTAACCTTCTAGCTCATTTAAAATTAAAGAGCCAAAATGAATTTTAAAATATGAGCATGTTAAAAGAAAAAAAAAAAAGAAAAAAAGATTCAGTTTTAGGCTGCCAGTAAAGCCCAGGGTGAGATTTTATAGAAAATTCTGGTGAAAATTTATGGGAGACTCATATATGAAGCGCTAAAAACAGGGATTTATAGAATGAAAGTGATAGTTCAACTCTTCTCTAGAATACGATGATGGCTAGGAGATAAACATTTTATTTAGTATAGAGAGAACTTGGCAGTTGCTTTTTGTTCTTAGGATAAAATTTATGGCGTGATTGAGAAAATGGCAAGAAAAATAATTGCACAAAAGGATAAGATAAATCACTATAAAAAGAATTTCTCACTATCTCCCCAAGAAAATCCTATGAAATAGCCCCTAAAAGGAGTGATTTTTTTTTTTTCTGCCAAAGGGATTTTTATACCTTTCTTCTCTCCTAGGTGGCAGTGTGGCATAAAAAGAGACTATTCCAGGACCCACCAACTATTTCAGGATTGAAAGATCACTAAGAATGTAGATTCAAGGAAAAATACTTAATAAGATATCAGAATAGAGAATTCTTTCATAGACAGAAAAAATTGGTACTCACTGGTTCCACGTTATAGGAAAAAAGAGCATACTCTTTATCTGGAGATATTTCATATCTGACGGCTCTTAATGATTCCTAAAAGAAAAAAAACAAAGAATTTTAAAATATTACATATAACATAATTCAGAATCTTGTAGTGCAACTGTGCCTGCTGATGCTGTTTCAAAATTTGCTAATAAAATTAGTATGCAGCAAACTTGCTGAAGTCTATTGAAAATGGCTATATCCTCTCTTCGTTAATTGAATAATATTCAGTTAATTGATGCTTTTTCATATTTTATTTGTATTTTTTAAATGTCAACAAAACCATACTTATTGTATCTACTGAAACAAATCAATAGAAATAAAAAAAACCCAAATAACCTTTCCCAAGACTCCCAACCTCTATCTTCTTCTTTTTTTTTTTTTTGGTGAAGAAGATTGGCCCTGAGCTAACATCTGTTGCCAATCTTCCTCTTTTTTCCTTTTTTCCTTGCTTGAGGAAGATTGTTGCAGAGCTAACATCTGTGCCAATCTTCTTCTATTTTGTATGTGGGATGCCACCACAGCATGACTTGATAAGTGATGTGTAGGTCGATGCCTGAGATCCGAATCTATGAACCGCAGGCCGCAAAAGCGGAGTGCGTGAACTTAACCACTAAGCCACTGGGCCGGCCCCGATCTCTCTCTATCTTTAAACACAGTCTCCTTTGCTTATTTTATACTTAGAATCTTATATTAAGGAGATTTGTTCCTAAAATGGAATCACATTCTACACATTATTTTGCAACTTGCTTTTTCAACCATCATGGACACTGACCCACAAGTCAGTGGGTAGAGGACTAACTGTCACTTTTTCCTTCAAATTTCTTCACAGTATACAGGTAATTTTACATAAATGAAATCATCAAAAATGCTGTTTCCCTTCACCTTGCCCCACTTTCTCTGTTGCACTCACTCTCTACTGCACAGACCCCCATACCCACTCAAAAGGGCCCTCTATTGTCAACTGGGTGTGTTTCACTCTACAAATGATCATACAACCACATGCAAGCACACAGATGTATAACCCAGCTAAAAATGACGTCACCTTACACATCTCTCACCTTAGTTTTCTCGTGCAACAGTAAGTTAAGGGAATGACTAAAGCAATTGGTTTAGCTTGAATTAGTGATCTTTAAAGCTCGCATAATTTTCTATGGTGCAGACATACTTTAATTTACTCAGTCTTTACTAAAGGGTAATTACAGTTGATTCTTATTATTCATAGTAGCTATGTTCTAGAAAGTCTCCACAAACACTGAATTAGTGAATACTGAACCATGCTGTTTCTATGGGAGATTCAGGGCTCCGTTCCTGTGAGCCTCTGGTTTTTTCAACCACTCAATACATAACCTTCTCTTACATGTGTTTCTGTTTAAAGACATCTTCTTGAATAAGTGTTGTTGATTAATTAACACTGAACTCACAGGTAACAGCACTATAACTCGTGCCTGAATGAAGCTCATCTAACACGTTTTCTCTGTAAGGCACAGCACAGCTTCTTGTGCTGAGGAACACCAGACAGCACCTTGGCATTATTCTTGGGGGGTATTTTAAACAGCATAATCACCAACAAAAAGCACAAAAATGTGAAAAACGTGGCACAACGTGGACCACAAAAAGAACACCTGTTTACAGTATGAGCTGATGCCAGAAGGCAGTGGATAACTCAAATTTTTTGACACTACGCACATGTCTGAGGATGACTGAAAAGGTATTAATTTGGGAGTCACAAATAACCTTTAGCACACAGGCAAATCTGCAAATATGGAAGCTGTGAATGATGAGGACACACTGTGATGTGTTTCCAGTCTGCTGTTACTATGCACAATATTATAACAGACATCCTCGTCCATGTATCTTTACTGGTGTGTGTGTGGTTATTTTAATTTTTTTATCGACTAGGTATCTAAGGGTGGGATTGATGATTTACAAGTTTTTAAAAAATTTAAGTAGACATTGCCAAATTGCTTTTCAAAACTGTTTTTGGAATTAACACTCCCACTACCAATGTATGAATGCATCCTTTCTTCCCTTCTCTGGCAGCAGTAGTATTAACTGTATTTTCTTCCATTTTGACCCTCTGAAGGGTGTAAAGCGGTACCTCGTTGATAGTTTAGTTTACGTTTCCCTGCTAATGGGTACATTTGATCCTCATTGGATGTGTTTTAGGCAATGTGGATTTTATCTTTAGAAAACTGTCTATTCATAGCTCCTTCAAAGTATTTTCCATGCTCCGACTTTTCTCCTATTCTTTCTTAAGCTCATTCCTATCATGTTTTCACTCCCACTGGACCAAAACTCCTCTTCTCGAGGTTACCAGAGACTCACTCTGCTACATGTCATGATAATTTCTCAGCTCTCATCTTACTTGGCACAATTGTCACTTTCTCCTCCCCCAAACCCTGTCTTCACCTGGCTTCCAGGACACACACTCACCTGGCTTCCTCCTCCCTCCCTCGCTGCTTCTTTTCATGACCTTTTGCTGCTGCTTCCCTTCGTTTCTCTGATTCCATCTCCTCTCCCTCCATCTCCTGTTCCCTTCTTCCTCATCCCAGCTGTAGCAACTCCATTCACTCACCTGCCTGAGCCAAACTCTTAGCTGTCTTTTCTCTTTCTCTCTGTCTTACACTCTTTACATCCAGTTGATCAGAAAATGCTGTTGGTCTGTCGTCAAAGTATATTCAGAACCACGCTCTTTCTTCCCCACTGCCACCATGCTAGTCTAAGGCATGGGCCCTTTTTCTTGACTATTGCAATCACTTCCAGCTGCGTCCGCAGGTTCTGTCCTTGCCCCATTGCAGTCTATTCTAGCCACGTGGTCAGGGCCGTCTTTTAAATATATAAATCATCAATTGCTCCTTGCTTGAAGCCCTCCTACAGCTTCCATCACATGCACAGTAAAAGCCAAAGTTTTGACTGAGCACTAGCCCCACCTGGCCCCGTTAGCTCTTGGTCCCATCTCCTACGACGCCGCAGTCTCCTTCACTCCAGCCAAACCAGTGTCTACACCTTCCCAGAGCAAGCCGGGCACACGCGTCTCACGGTCTTTGTGACTGCTCTTCTCTCTGCCTGAAATGCTCTGGACTTTCATCCTTTTCAGCTTGTCTCAAAAGTCACCTATTAAGTGAGGCCTTCCATGTCCTTCAATGGCCATGATATCCAGAAGTTTTAACCAGCTGGCCTCCAATTTCTCATAACCCACTTCTCTTATTTCCCTAGGCTTAATCATTATCTAAAATAATACATATTTTACTTATATAAATTTACTTATTTATCTTATTTATTGCCTGGCCCCCTCACTAGAATGTAAGCTCTTTGAAAGGAGGGTTTTTTTTTTTTAATCTTTAACTTTTCTCAGCCATGTTTTTAGTATACAGGTCTTGCCTATATTTTGTTTAATTTATCCCTAAGTACTTAGTATTATTAATGTTTTGTATATATAAAATATACGTGTATATTATAATTTCAATTCCAATTGTTTATTGCTAACATACAGAAATATAATTGATTTTGGTAGCTTAACCTTATGTTCTGCAAGCTTGCTAAATTTCATTAACTGTTCTAATGGGTATTTTTGTTTTGTAGATTCCTTAGAATTTTCTACATAATCATATTTTCTGTGGATAAAGACAGTTTTTTTTTCTTCTCTTCCTAACAGGATGCTTTTTGCTTCTTTTTATAGCCTCATTACACTCCAGAGAACTGCCAGTATAAGAGGTCACAAGAGTGGACACCTCGCCTTTTTCCTGATCTCAGGGAGAAGGCGTACACTCTTCACTATCTAGTATCTTAGTGGTAGAAGTTTTTGTAGATACCCTTTACCAGGTTAAAGATGTTCCTGTCTATTTAAAGTTTGCTCAGAGTTTTTATAATTAATGCTGAATTTCGTAATGAGTGTTGAATTTTTCAAACGCTTTTTCTGCCTTTATTGAGATGATTATGGTGTTTTGCTTTTTTTAGTCTGTCAGTATGGTAAATTACCTTGTTTGATTTTCAAATGTTAAACCAAACTTGCATTCCTGGGATAAACTCTATGTGGCCGTGATGTATTACACTTTTGCTAGACTCAACTTGCTAATATTTCATTGAAGATTTTTGCTCCTGTGTCATAAGGGAAACTGCTCTGTGGCTTTCTTTTCTGGTAATATCTTTGTTTGGTTTTTATTTCAAGATACTGCTGGCCTAATAAATGACTTGGGAAGTAGTTCCTCCTCTTCTATCTGTTTTATGAGTTTGTGTGGAATCGGTATTATTTTTTCCTTAAATGTTTGGTAGAATTCACCAGTGAAGCCATTTGCACCTTGAGTTTTCTATATGTCGAGCTTTTTAACTATTAATTTGACTTTGATGTCAATACAGGACTATTCAAGTTACCTATTTCATTTTCAGTGAACTGTGAAAATTTGTGTCTTTCAAGGATCTATTCATTTCATTTATGCTGTCCAATCTATTGACATCAGGCTCTTCTAAGTATTTTCTATTATCCTTTTAATATCTGTAGTGCCGGCCCCTCCTCTGTTCATGATATTGGTTCATGATTTTGTTCTTTATCTTTGTTCTTGATCAATTTTATTGACTTTTTCCAAAAACCAGCTTTGATTTTATTCTATTACTTTTTTCTTTTCTATGTGGTTGATTTCTTCTCTTTATTACTTTCCTTCTGTGTAATTAGGTTTAATTTCTCTTCTTTTCTTTTTCTCCTAGTTTCTTAAGGTGAAAGCTTAGATCTAATAAGAGCACTTAAAGCCCTAAATTTCCATTTAGGCACTACCTAGCTGTGTACCATAAATCTTGATATTATGTATTTTTATTTTCCTTCATTTCAAAATATTATCTAATTTCCATTTGATTTCTTCTTTGGCTGGTTTGTCATTTAGAAGTATGTTGTTTAATTTCCAATCCTCAGGATATAGTCCAGATATTTCTCTGCTATGGATTTCTAGTTTAATTTTGTATGTGTTGGAGAACACACTTTGTATAATTTCCAAACTTCGAAATATATTGAGACTTGCTTAACAGCCCAGACTATGATCTGTCTTGGTGAATAGTCC